ATATATATATATGTGTGTGTGTGTGTGTGTGTGTGTGTGTGTGTGTGTGTGTGTGTGTGTGTGTGTGTGTGTGTGTGTGTGTGTGCGTGTGCGTGTGTAATATGCTAGGATGATCTGAAAGAAATGAACATGTAGTAGTCCCAAAACTTCCAGTTTCCTGCAATAGCATGAATAGGGAACGAGTGTGTATAAATTGGAAGAGAGTATTTTAAGGTAGGTTGATGAAGTGCGAGTTTAATATTGAACAAAACTGTCTATTCTAACACTCACCAAACTTTTTGACCACCCCTATAAATACTAAAATAGTACACAAATCTAGATGGCCTTTGTAATGCCACCTATCACAGCTATATGCATCATCCATAAGTATTTTACCTTGAAAATTGGCATATGTAAGAGTGAGTTAAGGTGTAAAGACTTCCTATGACACCATGAAAGCCTGCTAGCTCCAACAACAGCAACGATACACACAGGCTCTGACTTGTTACTAAGCACCCTATATAGCAAATAAAACAAACAAAATTATTCGGAGCTAGAAATACACATCCAACATGAAAATTACTATCTTTCATTGACCATGGTATTTCTATTCCAGGCTATGTAACCACCGTTGTAAGCAAACAGTATACCGTATAGACGTATTTCTATTAGTATTAGTATTTCTAATAAATATTGAACAGTTAAACTTTTTATGCAGCATAATTTAAACCTATTTTAACTGAAAATGTGCAAAGAACTTAGGGTCATGTGTACCTTTAAGTCACTGCCTTATCGAAAAATCTTAATTTCCAGCTGTTTTTACTTTTGAACTGATTGAAAGTAAAATATAGTAGAAAGAAGTATTATAAAACTAAATGTTGTCATCTGGACGGACTTGCGGCCCCGGTTTTTGCGCGGTGAATAGCAGTGCATAACAGTGAATACGCCGCCGCCTTTTTGTCCCCTTAGACAGATACCTTAGACAGGGGTCTGAAAACGCACTGCGCGAAAACTGGGCGCAATCCAACCCACATTTCGGGATGGACGGCAGGATGCCATCTCCAAACGGCCCCTAAACTTTTTTTGGGGTGGCGCGCCTCATGGCTAAGACGTTGTGGCTCCTACAAGAAACTCTACGAAATGCTGTCAATCAGCGATGACGCGCTCGCTCATTGGCCGCTACGCGATGCATGCGCTACTGCCGAGTATAGCGTTACGTCTATCACAGAGGTTTTAACGAAGACATGTACGGCGCTCCACGTGGGCTGGCGCGGTCTAGATGCGTACGTGCGAGGTTTTTATCAACCTCTTGACCCCGCGCTGCCCGTGGCGACGGCACGTCGTGCAAGCACGTGCTGGCGTGGCCGTGGCAGTTTTTACACGTAGCTAATCCTACAATACGCCGCGACACTGACACACAAATATATATATGCACGTTTTTACGAAGACGGCGGAGCGCGACATTCCAGCCTCCCTCCTCCCCCGCGCTCACGTGGCGGCCGGGCACGGTCGAAATGCTATCTCCAACAAACGCTGGTTCGGGGAGTTTTTGCGCCGCGGTGACTTTGGTAGTAAATAGATTTCATATTTATTTAGCATTACATTTTATTGAAACGCTGCAAGTGCTTAGGGATGTTACAAAATTTTGAGATGTCATAAATATACCTTAAAACCTTTGCCATCTGAAAGAGCATGACAATACATTTAATTTGATACCTTATTCACTTCCATACCTTTAGTTTTAAGGAAGTTATGGCAATTTTCATATGCATAAATTTTCATATTGATCCCCATTGGTTTTCTATTGTGTTAAAACAAAAGTTGTGATCGAGGAGAGCCAACGGCAACTGAAGAACAAAAATGCTCATAACTTTCTTCAGGGTAAAAAATCCATGTGAAATTTTTACAAAAAGTAGATTGAAGTATTTTGGATCAAATACAATACATGATTTGTCTTTATAATAATCACATTTAATTACATAATTTGTAGTTAATTATTTAACGAGAGTTGCTAAATAATGGTAATCGAGGCTTTGCTGCATGCTGAAGATATTGCAAATTATACACAGTATTCTCAATGGCAGAGGTTTAATACACAAGTACTTGAATGATAATCTTGATTAGACAATTACATTTACAATTAATGAGTAATTAACCTTTTAATAAAAGCCATTTTAACGAGAGGTTGCGAAATAATGGTAATCGACTTTCTCAATGCCTGAAATATTGCAAAATTATACACAGTATTCTCAATGGCAGAGGTTTAATACACAAGTACTTGAATGATAATCTTGATTAGACAATTACATTTAGCAATTTAATGAGTAATTAACCTTTTATAAAAGCCATTTTAACGAGAGGTTGCGAAATAATGGTAATCGACTTTCGCAATGCCTGAAATATTGCAAATTATACACAGTATTCTCAATGGCAAGAGGTTTATACACAAGTACTTGAATGATAATCTTGATTAGACAATTACATTTACAATTATGAGTAATTAACCTTTTATAAAAGCCATTTTAACGAGAGGTTGCGAATAATGGTAATCGACTTCGCAATGGCCTGAAATATTGCAAAATTATAACACAGTATTCTCAATGGCAGAGGTTTAATACACAAGTACTTGAATGGATAATCTGATTAGACAACCACATTTACAATTAATGAGTAATTAACCTTTTAATAGAAGCCATTTAACGAGAGGTTGCGAAATAATGGTAATTGACTTTCTCAATGCCTGAATATGCAAAATATACACAGTATTCTCAATGGCAAAGGTTTAATACACAAAGTACTTTGATATGATAATCTTGATTAGACAATTACATTTACAATTAATGAGTAATTAACCTTTTAATAGAAGCCATTTTAGTTTTTTAGAACGAACGCACGGCCGGACGGACGGACGCACGGACGCATGCTCATGCGATTCTACAAGCTGCATCTGACTGTCAGATGAGCTAAAAATAAATAATCGAAATAAAAAAAATAAAAATGGCTTTTTGTTCATTTATTATTGATTTATTAATTTATTTAGTTATTTATATATATTCATTTATTCGTTTATTTATTAATCTCGGTCTATTTATCTATATATTCATTGGTTCATTTATTTGTATATTTATATATTCCTTGGTTCATTGATTCATTTATTTATTTATCTATATATTCATTGATTCATTCATTTATCTATATATTCATTGATTCATTCATTTATCTATATATTCATTAATTAATTTATTTATCTATAGTGTATGTTCATTGATACATTTATTTATCTATATATTCATTGATTCATTTATTTATCTATATATTCATTGATTCATTTATTTATCTATATATTAAATGATTTATTTATTTAGACCCTATTTACTTCAGTGTTTATTTAATGATTTAGAAATTCAACTAGACCATGGCATAGATCTATTTGTTTATCTAGTTTTATTATAAACAAATATGAATAAACACAGAACTAATCAGATAAGTAAATAAGCAAAAAGTCGCACGCGCACAGACTCCAAATTAAAAATTTATACGTGCAAAAATCATAACATCAAACAGCAGGCCAACCACTAATATAATGATGTAGGTACTAGACGGAGGCAAATAATATATAAAAGAGAGAGACAGACAGACAGAAATACACGCGTGGGCCTATAAGTATACTATAAGGCTCTTGTCTAGTCTATGAATTAGTCTAGTTATTAATTAGTCTACTAATTATTATTAATTAATTATTGAATTAGTCTAGTCATGAATTAGTCTACTAATTATTATTAATTAATTATTGAATTAGTCTAGTCATGAATTAGTATGAATTAGTCTACTAATTATTATTAATTAATTATTGAATTAGTCTAGTCATGAATTAGTATGAATTAGTCTACAAATTTATTCGTGTTTATATATTCACTCAGCAGTTTATATCGAAACACTCGAAATGTTACTGGGGACATACGATCAAAATCTTCAAACATCCACTTTCACAATCAGATATATGATTTCTTTATTCAATATCATGTAAGAATATTAACTTAATTATCCATATTTTGAGTATTTGTTCACAAAAATCATTGATTACGATGTGAATAACAGATATTAAACGCTAGAAATTCAGATGCAAGATCAATACAATACACAGCGCACTGTTGCACTGTATGTGCGCAGCGTCGCAGCGACATGGTAGGCAGCGGGGATTTGGGCAAAAATTCGACAGAGTCAACATTCCGGGACAAAAATTACAACTTTCGCATCATCAGATTTCCATAAAATTTCACCAAAAACAAGTTAAGATGTTAAAGAAATGATGCAGATACCTTTTTAGGTGATGCAAAACTTGCAATCTGTATTAAACAGTCCCTCAATATAAGTCTAACTTTAAAGTAGCTCGTACGATCATCAAACGCAGCAGAATTTCGAATTTGTTCTTAAAGATGGTCGACCGAGTCCTCAATGATGTCATAGTTATGACGTTATAGGGAAAACATTAATAGAACCAATCAGAACCCTCTCTTTTACTAGGGGGTGCGCCTCCGTCCTCGTAGTTGCTCGCGCAGTCACACCGTTACTTTTCAAGCGGCGCTGCGAGCTGCATTGTCGCATACCTAAAGTGCTTGTGTGCCTAGCTGTGGCAGCATTGATGCATGTATATAGATACCTTATTAACCCGTGGCGGCGGAGCGAGCGAGAGAGAGAGAGAGAGAGAGAGAGAGAGACCGTGGGGAGTGCGAGAAAGAGAGAAAGAGAGTGGGAGAACGCCAGATAAGGTACGAAAATATGGCAGGTGACGGTACGACGGCGAGGATGTACAAACGCGTGTCAATCTATAATCGGAAAGGCCCCCCTCCAAAGCCGATGTACGTGTCCCGAAAACTGCGCGATGTTAGGCTGCCCGCTATACGCATTCGCGCGCCCGCTTGAAATGTTTACATATGTATTGGACCGTTTATGGCACGCATAATTGATTCCAATAATAACAACCACCTTCAAGGACCTCCCCATAAACGACATGCCTTCTGAATTGGAATTACTATATTCCAACAATATTCCTATAATAGTATAAGTATAATTTATAATAATGGGTAGGGGCCTAGGGGCCTACCGTACTACTACTATCTATTACTAAATAGCGAAATAAAAACTGTGTTGTTATTGAAATTGAGTCTGTACATCAAACACATATAGTGCAAAGTTACATTTAGCCATTTCACCACAACAAAATAAATCCACTGACTTCGAATTTAACAAGGCCGTGGTTTCTTACTTTTTATCTAAATAGTCAAACGGAAACGTAAAGATTTTGCTGAATATTTTGCTTTTACTTGTGGGTGCCGCCATCTTGAAACATATAGTGTCAACGTTTACCGTAAGATGGCGCTTAAACACAGCAAAAGTTAGGGTCCCTATATACAAATCTGTATATAGGGACCCTAGCAAAAGGCAGAGCCGGAAAAACAGGAGTCTATCAATATTGATCGCAATATTGATCTCAATATTGATAGACTCGATCCTGATATAAATAGTGGCCCAAGGATAGAGAACATGGTCCCAATAAAACCAATGTGCCTAATAGTAACCCTAACCCTAACCCTAACCATAACCCTAACCTTTATATTGATATAATATTATATTTATATTGATGTAAATGACATTGGTTTTATTGGGACCCATGTTCTCTATCCTTGAACCTAAATGGCCATATCAGTCTTTATATACGCCTCTGGCAAAAGTGTCTGTGTAGAGTGGTGTAGACTAATATCATGAGCATCAAAAGCATATAGAGTGATACACTCCTTTTCACATATTTGTTTAATGAGTCACTTATTATTATTTCTGCTTTACATTAGAGATATTCAAACACCTATGATAATTTTTCTAAAATTGCAGTTCCTGGTGATTGATGAGCAACGATCACCAACTCTTCAATGATCATCAACTCACCAATGATTTTGATGTTACTTTAGCGAGCATTGCTGTTTCCACTCCGATTAAATTACATCTGTAACATCACTGTCATCAGGAAAACAGCCTTCCAAATATCAATTGCAATATTGACAATTAATTAAATAATGCGTGTATCGTTAACGGCACATGAAATATTTACTCTTGCAATACGTACCTGTACGTATTGCAAAAGTAAACATTTAAACAGGCTGTATAAATAAAGATAAAGTTGCATGCTTGTGCATGCATGGTTCTCATTAAAATTCTTTATTTTGATGAGCTGCAATCTATAACTTAATTATCGTTGTACCAGTTCAAATATTTTTCCAACAGACTCATACAATGATACATTATTCATAACCTGCATTCACTACTATAACTTGACCATGTGCACACAAGCCACTTCTTTAGAGATGTGCACTCTTCCCGTCCAACAGACTATAAAACCGGCACCTTCCTATATATATAGTGACATAGGAAGCAGGTATTATGATCATATCAGGAGTAAGATAATATAGATTCTATATAGATTCTATATTATCTTACTCCTGATCATATCACAATCATTATAGTGTCATCCAATATCAGAATGATATAGAAACCAAAAACATAAACAATAACAACCAAATTAATAACAATTAACCCCCACATTTCTCCCTCTACGCATGCAGAGACCAATCAAATTGAAAGCCAGATTCTGACTTAAATCATTGGTTTAAATTACAGTATACTAGCATGTATTCAACCAACAAGGTAATGAATAGGAGCAATAAACTAAATAAACGTCTATATATGTCAAACAAACACATTGTTCTGCATACCCTGTTAATATCAGTTATATATAGCGTAAAAGCCGCTACAAAAATCCCACGATTGCAAATACTGACATTAGAAATGTTGCTATAGTAATGCCATAGTTATGAAACAATTCCAAGACTGAAACTCATATCAACAGCTAGCTTACGTGGAAAATTCCTAGATTTCGATACTTGTTCAGCGTTTAAGCCACCGTGAGAGAGTGCCAAATGCGGCATCAAATGTAGACAAGTTCGGACATGATCCGCGCTGCAAGAGCAACAATGACCCAGCCTCTACTGCATGTCCTGCTTCTTCTAACTGGGCTACCACATTTTCGATGTTATGCGATGCCTCAGATTTGTGCTGATTCACTAACAGGTACTCAATGAGAGGTTGGTAGTATGGTGTACCCACAGTTTGTGGCACATGGCAGTTTTCAAGCAGCAAGCATAGAGTGTCATCATCAATTTCAACTTTCTCCAACTCCTGTAATATGATAGAATTCATTTTTTTAAATATCAAATCCTATCTCTAAGCATTTTAATATATTCAAACATTTCTTTATTTAATAGTTCAACATTCTAAGAAGCAATATCCTGATAACATTTTGTGCACAATCTTTAAATGTACTCATTTTGTTATTGTAAGTAGCAAGAATATAATTACTAATAATAGTGAAAAACCATTTACTTGCTGTACCTGTAATATTGTAGATAGCTTATGTATGACTGTGTGATGAAGCTCAGGATATGGTGCTAATAGTGCCAACTTAAGAGCCTGCAAGTGGTGGTCACCCATCAATTTGTCACAGAAATGACTGTAGATCTAATAAAAGAAAAGAAAATTGATAAGAAACCAAGTAATCAAGTTAGATCAGAGTCAAATATATGCAAAAATAGATTGCTGATATAAATAAACACATAAATAAACATATGTATATATATATATATATATATATATATATATATATATATGTGTGTGTGGGAAGGTACACCAACTATATTCTTGCACTTTGATTGAAAATTGTGAACAAATTCTACACTAAATGACACTATGAACAATCTGCTGATGCCTGGATAGGTGCAGAATCAGCCACCGAGTTCTGATTTTGAGAACTACAACTGCTTTCAGCAAACTGCTGCATATTATTTAAAAACATGGCTAAGAGGAATGAGATAGTAGGTGAATAAATATTTACTTGTAAATCAAAATGTCGTTGTAGTTTGTGTATATGCCTTGCTATCGTCACCACACGTTCTGGCCCATCTGCATGATTGCTATCAAGCATCTGCATTAAAAGCCTTAGCCAATCGTTCTGTGCCTGTTCCCTGCAATGATATATGTAATTTATTAGTTTTAATGCACCTTCAGCTACATGGCAAACACGTGTATACTGTTCACCAAAAATTATTAAAAATATAAACACTGGACAAAATTAGAGGATGTAATGCGAACTCAGGAGATGGGCCACATTTTTACAAATCATAGCACGACATATAGTGCGGAGGCATATGCATTTAAACACACATGCTAATAAACAACTGTGCTACATTAGCAGAATAAAAAATACCTTTGTTGAATGAAAGGTGGCCAACTGAGCAATAGTTCTATGAGTGCAAGCAACTGTTCAAACGTAGTGCTAGTTGAGAGTAGGCCATCAAACAGCTGAAGTCGCGTTGTCTCTGTTACAACGTTTTCAGGTGCCACCTAAGAACGGTCAGAAAATATTATGTGATGAGTATCCAAGAAATAATTGCAAGAAAACGTTCAAATAAAATTTAAATACTGCATGTATTTCAGCGTTAATGCAGTTAATGTCGTCTACCTGCAATTGTGGCCAGCCACTGCCAACAAGAGCTTGTGTTCTGTACAAAACAAGGAGCTCTTGATCCTCAGCCTGCATGTCGAATTCCTGATAATTAAAAGCTTACCGTAAGTAAAGTTCCCATGACAGCCAGCAAGATATCTTTGAACACTTTATTTGTAATTGTCTGCAGTACATACATATGTACATAACCTTAGTTCACAAGAGAGTTAAACCAGCATTGTCTCTAGTACACGCACATCGACAGAAAGTATGGATGGTTTCATTACACTCTATGAAATACATCAACGAGAGCAACAATGCAACTGTGCTGCATACCTTCTCGAGCACAGTGAGGACATCCAGGCGAGACTGCGTGGGGACAGTGACGTTGCAGCAGTAGGGCCGCAGCACTGATAGCACGTCCTCCTCACTAACGTTGCTACTCGTCTTCACCGCACTCACGATTCGGCTGAGTGACTTCAGTTCATCCTGGGTGCCTGCTTTAGGTGCTGACCTGATAACGAATACAAGAGCCAAGTTAACACGATAGTACACTGGTACCTGTATATATCTGGTAATATCATATATCAAAATAGAGTATAAAACAAAAATAGTTGCATAGTTTATTTGCTGTACGCGTTTCGACGTTGACATGCCTTCTGGATCATTGTATTATACAGTATTTACTTTATTGCACACACGAGCCTTCGAGTTGTCTCCTGCACCATGACTGTTAGAGAGGAAGTGACAGCTGGCGACACCTGTAGGAATTTTCCGACTTCATCAAGGGAAGTGCCATGTTCTAGCAGCTTGTACACCAGCGACTTCAGATTGTCCTCCTCGCCTCGACTCAGATCAAACTCCTGTGCACACTCTTGTAGGAATGGTGTGCCTGAGGCCTTCGTTGTCTCAATGAAATCAGTATAGACCATGTTGAGATGACCTAGCCATTGTTCCAATGTTTCTTCGCATACTTTCCATTTCTCATTCTTGCCATCTGCTGTCTGTGATTTAGCATACTGCTGTCTGGAATGCTTAAGTGCTCGCCTGATGATCTCTTGCCTTGTCGCTACAATTGGATTGGATTGGGCAAAGTAATCAAAACAGATCTTTTAGTTATGCGTCATATACACATAGAAAATACGAATTTTAAATTACAAAATCTACAAAAAAAAGTACCGAGAGGGCTAAAAGAATTGCAAAGGCATCACTTACCCATGTTCATGTTTTTCATAGATGTGGGAATAAACACTACGCTGCCAATGAAGCTCAGCAAATCTTCAGGTAGCAGACGCGATACGAACTCCCCAGACATTTCATATCTATGTATCCAGTCTGCCTGATGGAAGTAATACATACTAATTATTAACATATGCGCTATACTAGGCATACTAGGCATACTAGGTATACTAGGCATGCTTCACACGAGCATAACTTACACGTCAGAAATCCTATCGATTTTCCAGATCTGAATACGAACCAACACCCATATGCTAGCTACCAAATGGACACCCATCACGTGAAACCAATAGACAACGATACGTCATATGCAAGGTGATCGAAATTATCTCACTACCTGGGTCTTCTGAGGAGCCTTCAGCTGCTCTGCCTTGCCGTCCACTCTGAACAGCTTAACCGCCCACCTGGAGAAGACTGCGCTGGGCGTGAGAGGTGCCTTGCCATCGAGGCTCGGCAGCTTCGGAGCGAGCTTGGCGAGCACGTGAACATTGTTGGCGGTGAGCACGCTGTCGATGGCATCGAGGGAGGAGCTCGCGCCGGACACCAGACTCTTGTAGTTGAGCCCTGCAACAGATTCCAGAGATATTCATAGCAGGAGTGTCTGCAGTTTTACAGGTTGACAAGGGTTTGCCTGGTGAATTGATGGTTACTAAATGATTAAATAAATAAACATATTAATAGATTTAACACTGTTTGAGGGCACACGTTTGCATCACGCTAGGTGATCTTGTGGCATTGTTCCTTCTCGGCTCAAGCAGTTGGCATCAAACTGCTGTGTGCTGGTGATGCTAGTCTATCAATACGAGAGCACAGTCGGCAGGTGGGAACACACGCACGCCCGCACGCGCGCACGCAGGCATGCACGCCCGCACGAGCGCACGCAGGCACAGACGCCTGCACGCCGCACGCACGTACAGACACATATACGACTGCTCACCTGGCGCTGCCGGCTTGATCTTCCTTAGCAGCCTGATGTGCTCGGCTGCAGGCATGTCGCCGTCGCGGCCATGCTCGCCGCATGCCTGCAGCGTGCTGTAGTAGTAGAGCAGGCGCGCGTGGTCGGTGCCGTGGATCGACGGGTACACGTACGTGCGCATGCGTTCCCACAGCACAGCCGGCTCACTCTGCAGCTGCGGCAGGATGTCCAGACGCTCCAGCTGCGCCTCAACCTCCGGTGTCGTCATGCTGCCAATTAACACGGATACATAGTACTCGCCGCCGGCCAAGAACTGGGGGCCACAGGAGCATTTACATCGCGGCCCCTGTCACGTTTCCAACCTGTGAATCCTTCTACCACACTTCTACTACTGTGTAAGAACTGATCATTTATGGTCCCAAGTGTCAGTATACCACTTTTGCTTGAGCTTTTGAACATAGAATGAACGGACAAAATCCAACATGCAGCCAGTGAAAGTGATCACGTACGAACAAACGTACATGCGGGTATTTAAAATACTATGGAATTACAGACTAGTGGTACGACATACCCACTCTCGGTGAAGAGAAATTCTAGATGGCACATGTAAACCTCCCAAAGTGGCACGTTGTAGCTTTCAGCAAGTGACACAGCGACATCATATACCTCCGGCTCCAAACTCCTGTAATGATTTTACCCACACCATGTATTTACATTCACAAGTCACTATCCTTTGTCAAGTTTGCTTGTATATAACGTGACAAAACAGCTGACGAAAACCAGCACATAAATTCACACTTTTGTCCTTTGAGACCAACGAGAACCAAATGAGACCACACATAACTTCCATATTAGAAATTATGGAGATGCTTACATGGAGAGGCCTAGAATTGTCTCGCGCTTGTACTCAGCATCCTGAGCAAACCTCACAACATCCACCCCTTTTCGCAATCCTTGCAAGACCTTCGCTTGCATGTAATCAGTCAGCACCTTATCATAATGCTGCAGCCGGACCAGCAGCGACGCCCCACGTCCTACATCGTTCACACTCTTGGCCTTTAATCGTCACACACAAGAGGAAAGACATCAGTGCAAAGTTATGCATGAAATTGCACTTGGAAAATTCAAAAACAACGAACTAGCAGAAGTTTATTGCAACAGAAAGACTATTATGAAGTTACATCTTCTGCATGTTGTGTTATTTCACCTGAACTTGATTATTTTAACTGCTCAACACTATTGCATCCATCAGATCTTTTCTCCACACAAAAATACTGTCTTCAGTACACGTATTTGCATTTGAATTATATGCAATAAAGATTTAATAATAATAATAAATCAGACCAACCTGTTTGATGACATCGGCAGGATTGTTCAAGAACAGCTGCTGTATGTACTCTGGTGTTGGTGCATCTATGGAGCAGATGAGCAGAGCATAGTAATACGATGCCAGCTGCAGCGGCAGGACCTTACTTGGCAGTTTCTCAAAACACTGGTCTGCATCGGTAGGCTGAAACATATGGCATCAGAATGCTTTCACTCACAAGCACGTGCAACAGTTTAACAAAACACAGGTGAAATACCTGCATAGTACCAGTCGATTGCCTGCACACTGGAGAGTTTGTAGCACAGCAATATCAAATGAAATGGAACAGTTTAATATAGAACAAAAATTATGTGTATTTTTAAATAATTATTGACATCATATGGCAAATTATGATCGTGTAATCTTCACAAAAATCACATGTTGTCTCACTAGTCTTGAAATACTTTCTATACATTCAGTTATCATGAACACACGGTCGTAAGATGACCGATGAAATACCTGCGCGAGAACGAGAAGGTACGCGAGTCCTAATGTGGTGTCGTGCGGGAGCATCTCCTGTGCAAGATTGAGTATGGCTTCAGTAGCTGGCTGCGCAGCCTCCCCGTGATTCAGGGCTTCCTCAAGCTTGGCAGCTCGCAGCAGCAGCATGCTCAGCTCCACGCTGCTGTTAGAGTGCTCCGCAAGCGAACATCCGTCGTAGTTCATCAGTACCTGAACAACGGGCGACATCCACGCTCCGTCACTACAGAGACCGGTAACATTGCAACACACAAACAGGTGTGGATTGGCTTGCGATGTAAGCTACACAGCGTGGAATCGGCAGCACATGTACATAGCGACTATTACTTTATATTAGTCAGAAAATCATTTGTCATTTCTATGATTTAGACTTACTGTTAATACAGCTTTAACAGTCTGTCAGCGCACAATAATAAAGCAAGCCAGCTTGCTGTCACAACAGCTCTGCTCACCTTGCTACTAAGTGCTTTCGGCATGACCGAAGAGTAGAATGGATGGCAGCCCTGCTGAACCAGGTCCTGGTTCTCTAACCACTCATCCTCCACAGCTTCATTCCGCTTGTGCCTCAGCCAGCGCCTTGGCTGATTCCACCACTTCTTCTCTTTCATCCTACCGAGCAGCGCTCGAGTTGTGGATGTCGTTGATGACAGCACTTGTTTCGTCGTGTGTGTGGTAGAAGCCAGAACATGCTTCGTTAAGTCCTTCGTCTGCTCAAAGGCTCTCACAGCTGTGTACATGTCAGACTTCTATCAAAAGTAAAATAATAGACATTTAATTTAAAATGACGTACATTAAATACATACTTCGATGATTAAGAGGGATTAACCAAGATCGTGTTACAACGATAAAAACCTCAGAGGCAACAGAATTCACTAGGTATGGATCCGCAGACAATCGGCACTGGGGTGCAACCACCTTAGAGAAATGCTGCCACTGCAAAATGAAAGTGTCAATGACACTGTAGCTCACCTTGGGTGTGATATAAGAGGGAGGAGGGATATATAAAGCAAGAGTATATATGGGAGAACTCCCATTATATAGCATATATCCCATTATATACTCTTGATAATAATATATGCATAAGTTTTGATGCAAAAATAAATGTTTCAGATCTGAAAGTCTGAAATCTCGACGAGAGATGGCGCTACGCCTAAATGATCGCCATTTTGGTTTTCAAATATCGCGCAAATAAAAACAATAAAATATTCCAGTCAAATTACTGTAACGAAGAATCTAAAACACAATATTACACGTATATAGGTATGATTGTAGAGAGGTTGACCAGTTAGATGAAATAAACGTAATAGGACGTTGTCATCTCTCCCATAGGAGTAACAACTGTATTCAATTTTAAACATGTTGATCAAACCGTTCTTGAGCTATCGTTGACCATAGGCAGACACTGAAATGCATAGTGAAATTGCCAAAATCTACCTAATTTGCATAATTTAAAAAAAATATCAAAACCCGTGTGATATTTGTTTTGGGGCCAGTCCTTATTCATTCACATACTAGAAATGAGCAAAATCTCCGTTGAACATGAATTGACTTATGGCTATTTCCATTTTTGCCAAAAAGTGGACGTGGCTCAAATGTAGGTCGACTGGCGTGCTCCAAAATAGGACGTTCAAACCTCTCCCATTGGAGTAACAACTATATGCAATTTGAAACATGTGGGTCAAACGGTTCTTGAGTTATCGTTGACCGTAGCCAAATGTTGACGGACAGACGGACGGACGTACGACGGAAGACACCCCATGGCAATAGCTCATCTTGACGATGTCAAGGCGAGCTAAAAATAACATACGCACCTGTTTTTCATCAGCCTGCATGGAATCCTCAGATGCTGTGTTTGCACGATTTGTCGCAGGACTGGATTCCCTACTGCGGCTTCCCCTTCTATCACCCGGCTCATGGCTTCCCTCTCTCTCGCCCTGACCAAGAACCCTGTTCAAACTCTGCATCTCCAGGAGAGCGCGGCTCTTCAGCAGCGAGCCCAGCTTGTCCGGCGTGCAGTGGACGAGCGCGAAATCGGCGAGGAGCCGCCGCGACGCGACGTCGTCAAACTCGTCGCAGCGCGCGAGTGCCTCGCACGTCTCCCAGCCGGCTGCGTATCCGTCGACGACGACGTCGCAGCAGAACGCGGCGGCGCCGGCGTGGTCGCGTCGCGCGAGGGCCGCGCCTGCGAGCATCACCAGCACGCGGCCGCGCTGCTCGCGCCCGTCCCCGCCGCACGCGCGCAGCAGGCGGGCGAGCCGCAGGAGGCTGGTCGCGCTCGCGTACGCGTCGGGGCGCGACGTCGCCGCGCGCGCCACCAGCGAGAATCGCTCGCGCTGCAGCCGCACCTCCACGGGCAGCGCCGACACGCCGAAGTCGTCTAGCAGCGCGAGCGCGGCGATGAGGTCGAGCTCCGTCTGCACGGCGGCGGGCGTGTCCGTGATTAGCTGCAGGCAGCGGCGCGCCAGCTCCATGCTGCCGTCCATCAGGTTGGCAGCAGAGTTGAAGTACTCCTGCGCGGACCGAACGACGATGTCCACAGCCTTGTCGTAGACAACCTACGCACAGGCGAGTACAGCAGCGCTTCTTAAACTGGTGAATGGTTCGCCCAAAGGTGAATGAAATTATTTTGGGGTGAATGAAAAATGGGTAGAAAATATAAGGAAATTTAGTCGCGGGTGAATAAAATTTTGTGATAAAGACTCGAGGGCGAATGACACTGAAATACTGGACACTGATGTACAGTACAGTACTGTAGTGGCAACTAGATCAATGTATCAAACGATAAGTACACGCTATATTTTTTTGGATTCACATATATTTGGCACAGGAGACTTGGGTTAGAGCTAAAGGGTCTGGCTCCACGGGATTAGCTTCCAGGGTTTCTTGTGAATGCTTGCATCCTTTTACCAAGGACAGACACACTCCATCTCATTTCTACAATGTTGAATCCAGCCTATATTGTCGCTTATTGCACCGAAACTCGCGCGGTGCAGGACGCAGAGCTACAGAAACGAGAACTTAAGACGAGCATGTATCTTCAACGCGCACCGACCTTCTTGAAGGGTGCCAGCGGGTCGTTGCTGCACGTCTCCATCATGTCCCCGGCGAGCCTAATGTTCTCGACGCGCTCCGAGCCGAGCAGGCTCTCACAGAATATCGCGTAGCAGTGCTCGGCGCGCAGGCAGCGGTACACGCATCTCTGCAGCTCCAGCATGCTGTTCAGCAGGTGCTTCCATTCGACCTCGGTCAGCGGTGGCGCACGACGAGCTGCAAGCAACGTCACGAGAACGCTGCATTCCATCACCAATGCTGACCTTCACCAACCACCCTCCCCCTCGTTCGCAAGACAGTATTGTCGATGACAAATTTTGGTCATTATCGTTAACCCCTGACAGTACGTAACCTGCCTATGTACTGCAGTAGTATGCCCATCGATCTACTAAAACAACTGTTCGACTATCCAACATCGTGTATTTTTCGCATTGATAGTTCGGGCAGTCCAATATCAGGTCTTATTCGCATGACAGTTGGGGCAGTTACTGTCTATGCTCACCTGCCGTACGTGTCAGCTTTACGAGCAACTGTTTTGCATCCTCAGCATCACTCTCTGTCTGCCTGATGAAGTGCAAAGGTGTCGGCAAGCCGTGAGTCTCCAGAATCTTTGCCGCCTTGAGATGATCAACTAGTGCATTCACCTGTACAATGTAACATTCCATTTGTAGGTACATAACAGAGGAGGTACGCATTCTAAAATGGTATTTGATGCATTAACGGCAAAAATAAGTCACACATTTAGGCTAAATCAGGTAAACAAAGTTTGCAGGTATTGTTTCATTTGCAGGTATATAACATACAGTGCAGATATCCTTCTGACCATTAGTGGCGAAACACTCTGTAAAACCAACAATATGTTCACGGATGGATTGGATGTATTTTAAATGATCCACATTTGCTCTTACTTGTTTTCACACATATAACAATGAAAGTGTCAACGACACTGTAGCTCACCACAAAAAAGGACACAAATGAGTGAGTAAGAAGAAGTCAGTTTTAATTGAGCAACCATCGACATACATTATAGAAACGATTGCCATCTGTATATCGCAATAATTTATAAACCAAAATGAATCACAATTTGTGACCGTAGATGGCGCTATACCCGCTTTGTAGCGATGGCATTTGAAATAAATAGGTTATGCTGCGCTCCGACATGTTTTGTAAAACTTTACTCTAATATAGACGTTTTATTGGCAGGGTGGAGAGGAAATACCAATTTTGCATTAAAGATATTGTCAATGAAATCTTGTAAAACGAACCAGACGAGTGTGACACCACAGACTGTTTGTGTCTATATAATATGCTATATAATTGCCAAACCCTACCTAATTTGTATAATTTTTTTTTTAATATCAAAACCCCTAGCCCTTATTCATTCACATACCAAAAATGAGCAAAATCCGTTGAACCTGAACTGACTAATGGCAATTCCCCTTTTTGCCAAAAAAATTGCCGTGGCTCGAAAGTACGTCGACTAGCGTGCTTCAAAATAGGACGTTTAATATGGTAACAAACTATACCCAATTTCAAACATGTGGGTCAAACGGTTCCTGAGTTATCGTTGACCGTAGCGAAATGTTGACGGACGGACGGACGGACGGACGGACGGACGGACGGACGGACGGACGGACGGACGTACGACGGACGACGACCCATGGCAATAGCTCAGCTTGATGATGTCAAAGTGAGCTAAAAAGCATGTGACGATTCTAGACCAACCTGGTTGAACAGAGCAGCAGAATCATCACTTGCCAGTCCCGATCCCCGCTGTGGAAGACATTCATATATGGCATGTGCCAGATCAAGCTGATCGCTCCGTTCACACATGTATAGGCACTCCAAGCCTAGAGACATCAGTGTATCTGTGTTTGTGATCACTGGCTTGCTTACCTACCGAGAAAATTGAAGATGGACGGTTTATATGTAACGCTACACATGTGAATGACATTGTTTTCTGTTAATAATAATATCATACTTTTAACAAATATCAGTGCAAACAACACTAGTGTGACAACTGTGATGAAATCCTATTAAGAATAATACCTCAGGTTTAGACATTTGGAATATCTTTAGGCAGCGTGACAGGTCTGTTTTCGCCATGTTAACGACATATTCACGAAGGAGTTTGCCAGCACTGTCTGGTGAACGCTTCACACAACGGTCAAGAAAAGGCAATATCCAGAGATGAACATTCTTTTCATACATTTCCTCGGATGACTGAAGCAAAACAATACAAGTCTTGAGAAAATTTAATAAACTAAAATGTAAAACGAAAATGTAATTTTACTAAATATAAAATGTAATTTTAAAATACTAAACTCATAAATGCTAATTTCAATTTCATATCTTGTCAGTTAACCAGCAGAATGCATATTCAGGACATTTTATCAAAACTTTAACTTGAAAAAAAAATATTTGCTCGTTGAATAAGTGCCAATAAACATGAGAATGCACGAGGGAAGTATTCACTGCAGGATATTTATAGGGCTATTTCTCTGTCAATAAACCTTCATTTAACGGGCAGAAAGAAATGGCACTTTGGCAGTGAAATCCACAATTACTAAGGTTGGCAGGTTTATAGATTCACGACTAGCACCGCATCATAGCTTACCCTACTCATGAGAAGTTGTAGCTGCTCAATATTGGTCAGGCTTTGATAGTGTTCCAGTGTAACACAATCGCCAACCTCACCTTCATACACCAGCACCTCCACTGTTGTCAAATCATCGGCAAGTGCTTCCAAACCCTGATATAAAGGCACATTTATAGCACTGAATGATGTTGATAAATAAGATTACAAGCGACCTTCGCATAATCACATAGTAATTTACTTGAGCTTTTCATATGGTAAACCTGGTTGACATTGAATCGCAACTGAACTCATTCACAACCTATATTTATTCACAAGCAATCAACAACATTTATGTTTTATTTTCATACCTCAGACTGCATGTATACAAGATCGAAGATGTATTTATTAATATTGTGTTTTGCTTCATGAAATTCACATTTATGATCAGTCTCACCTTCACATTGTGGAAAATGCCTAGACGAACCATGTCTGTAGCATTGTCGACACGGCAACTTAATCTCTCGATTTCCAAGCTGCGGAATCGATACCACATGCTAAGCTGGTCTGTTGACATATGCACCACACCTTCAGGGGTCAGTTCCAGTTTGAACTGCAAAAGCTCTGGCACATCCTCATATAGGAATCCTCCCAGGTTGGGAACAGTTGGATTTATCGCGCTGCTGCAAATGATAATGAAAGTGTCAATGACACTGTAGCTCACCACAAAAAAAGTGAGAAGAAGTCAGTTAGAGAACCATTGACGTACATTATAGAAACGAAGAGTATATATGGGAGAACTCCCATTATATACTCTTGATAATTATATGTGTAATTTTTTATGTGAAAATAATAAATAATATTATATATAAATTATAAATAATTTATAAACCAAAATGAATCACAATTTGTGACGGTAGATGGCGCTATACCCGCTTTGATGTTTCTTAGCATAAACCATTATATCATCAAACTGCATGCAGCGCCCCCTTCCCACACTCAGGATATACCACTGCCACAATGCTAGCACTATTTTTACAGTGGGCGGAGCTCCGGGGAAATCCAGCAAATGGCAAGCCAACGGCCGCGAAGTCGCCGCTGAACAAAACATTAGAAATTTCTATGATTTGCATGTTTGTTGGTGGACAAATTTAGATGTTTTAAGCTGAATACGCAAAAATGTATCAAAGACAATGTTCGAGAATTAGGTATATTGGCAAGCATCCCGAAAATTCATGATAAATACGTGAACTTAGTTTAGTAAACAGCGTAATGATTTGAAAGTAGTAAATGGGCGCACTATTTCGTATCACTATTTTATCAAATTGCTCATGAAATAATGGTCCGACTTTTATTATCTTTGCAGCTTTTATAAGTACACACCGTATTACATAGGACAGGAGTAACGGGATCGCTGTAAAACTTATAGTAAAAAAGCGTAAGAAATTCTTACGGAAATCAGCTTGTGGCAGTGGTAGAATTGAGCCAGAGCGAAAGCGCCATCTGTCGTGGAGTTCGTTATATCATATGTTCATAGCAGGAATTTTGCATTAAAGGGTGAGTTTACTCTAGGTTCTAGAGTTATTTTCAGCTAATTTAGGTTATAATTACGCTACATAAAAAGTTTCATGGTTCAATCATCATAAAAAAAAAATTTTTTAAATGTTTTAAAACTAACGACTACAGTTTTATTACAACGACAGTGGCGCCACTCAAAGCGCACTATCTGATAAGTTGCGCAAAACCACTTTCCAGCCAAGGGCTACAGACCGAGGGTGTTTCTTATTTATTTATTTAAAAGCAAAAGGATTGTAATTTCTTATAAACGGCATATAGTTTCAGTTATAATATGGATAAATTTACCCTAAATGATAACCGTTTGGTTAAATAGCATTTAGGTATAAATATAATTGCACTTTTGTGATTAGCCCTTGGTCTGTAACGTGCAAAATAAACTGTCAAATACGCAACTTTTTCGGCGTGGCAGCACGGTCGCGAGTGTCATGGCGCCGTTCAAATTTCGTAGCGTTGATGTGTAATTAATTATAACAATTAAATTAGGTACCTGGTAATAAATACGTGTGGGTATAAACGATTTGTTATACAGTAAGTACAGTTGTATGCAGTAAAATCCTAGAGGCTACTGTCCCTTTAAAGATATTGTCAATGAAATCTTGTAAAACGAACCAGACGAGTGTGACACCACAGACTGTTTGTTATCTGCGTGTCTATATAATATGCTGTATAATTGCCAATCCCTACCTAATTTGCATAATGTTTTTTTAAATATCAAAACCCCTAGCCCTTATTCATTCACATACCAAAAATGAGCAAAATCCGTTGAACCTGAACTGACTAATAGCAATTCCCATTTTTGTCAAAAAATTGCCGTGGCTCGAAAGTACGTCGACTGGCATGCTCCAAAATAGGACGTTTAACATGGGAGCATAGCAGTAACAACTATACCCAATTTCAAACATGTGGGTCAAACGGTTCCTGAGTTATCGTTGACCGTAGCCAAATGTTGACGGACGAACGGACGAACGGACGACGACCCATGGCAATAGCTCAGCTTGACGATGTCAAGGTGAGCTAAAAACACATGGCATAAACAGTGCAGTGTGTCTACATACATGCATGTGTGCGTATATGCATATGTGAATTGTTTCTCGGCAAAACCCTACTTGACAGCAATGACAATAACTCTGTGCTTTGTAAATCGTATATATCAGTATGATGATTTGTAAATTTGTCAGTACGACACGTTCACCAAACATATTTCTTATAGACTACTACAACCAATAACTAATGGCAACAATGCTCAGATGTTGAATTGCAGCATATGGCATACCTGCAAGGCTCAACTTCACACCAATCTTTTTCACGTAGAGTCTCCATTCCCCACGGCTCCACGGTGCCATCACTCTGAATTTTCGGCAGCAGGCACTCGTAATTGCTCGGAGGGACAATTTCTGGGAAGTTACTAAGAATCGGAAGCCAATGAGGCAGAAGATCGTCTCCGTGATGCATGAGAAGTGTCTCCACAGAGTGCACACGACCACACTGGAAATGATAAAATATTTCCACACACCGTACCATTTTACCAAATGACTTCTTAAACATTTCTTGTGCCATACTAGCCATGCCTAGGGAAATCAATTTATGGGTTTAAGAGATTCTACATAATTGGTAAAATAATAACACCTGTTGAATATATAACACTTATAATAGTAATATACCTTTTAAACAAAAGGTTTGATTAGCACAACCTTAACACTACCATCAAACGTCTTACTGCTGTTATATTCAAGGACCTACTACCTAATGTCTACTGCTCACTAACTCTGTATTACTATACATATGATATCATTAAACTGAAGCCTGTAACCTGAGCATATCCCACAGCCAGCTCAACAATATTCTTCTCTCTCAGCTCCTTGAACTCCTTGTAGTCGAAATGCTCATCGGCAACACTGGCGCCACCTAGTAGAATCTCATACGTCGTCAATCTGTCGAGGTAACGGAGCAGCTTCTGCCGTGACTGACACAGCTGTATCTGCTGCAGAGTCAACCTGAGAGAAAGAATGCACACAGGCGTGAACGAAGTCATAGCCACGGCAGTCACTAATTAGTATCTCAAGTTGTGTTTTTTCTTGTAAAATAGAATTAAGCCAGACACACGAGTGAAGGCTAAAGCCTGAAATAGAACAACTACAAGAATGAGAGAAGAAAGGGTAGTTGGAGCTCCAAGAAGATGATTCTATTAATGTGACTATGAAGAAGCTACAAAGAACGGCACAAGATGACATAAAATGCACATGCCAAGGCAAAACCAACCAAACTCCTCTAGAATTCACAAACTGGCATGCATGGCACTAAAATACTAGATAGCACTTATCAAATTTTGTGACATATTTAAAAATTACCTGTCAAAATTCACTTTTGATAACAAGTTTTTTCTCTTCGCTTGCCTACGCTCTTCGATCACTTTTGCATCATCTTCATCGTATGGATCCAGATCTTCATAATACTCATCAGTGGTTGAAATGAATCTGAAATTATAGAATAATCAAATCCATATCATACTATATGCAAAAAAAATTAAACCATCCACATATTTAAGCAAGAAACAGTGGCCATATTGTAAGTAGTGTGTATAATTGAATGACAACCACCTTCCATAGTCTTTACCACACCCAATAGATATGAGTGCTTCAAGATCTGTACCACGAAGACCGTGCATGAGAAGCTCTCTAGCTGCGTCCACATCGTCTGGAACCCTTTCTAGACACTCGTGTAACACCCACGACTGCTTGCTGATCTTCGTCTGTAAACAGAATTAAACACTGTGTGCACTGCACATGCTAAAACTGCATCTACCTACAATTATATTGTATAATCAGTGAGACACGGTAGGAGAAGCTCATAGGAGACGCTGACTGACCAGGTAGTCTTGTATTGCTGCAAGGGATGCATTTGATTTTCTCCACTGACATTGGTAGACTAGATCACAGTCCATGCCATAGGCTTTGGCAAGTGCTAAGGCTTCCCCATATTCTTCATCATCTATCTGCAAATATTAAACAAAAGCACAAGGTGTATTACGACTAGAAACAATTACCTGACCAATACAAAACACATATATATGTTTGCACATTGTCAGCTCTAGTATGTTTGATATCAGTTACTCAATATAGCAACCAATTCAGTGTTTCTCGTAAAGACTAATGTCATTCTCTTAACCTTGTGAAACAAAACATGGCAAAATAATCACCTTTCTAGCATATAGCTCTTCTGGAGTTGTAGATTTGAGGCACATCAGGCGATATGTTCTGTTCATTAGCCTAGCAGAAGAAATTGACATTTAACTGTAACAGTATTCATGTTATTTCATGCACTGCACCAACGCACCATCTATTATAATTTAATGGTATTCGACAAGTCTTGATTGTAGTTAATGTGTTTTATTTAGCACGAACGAAGTTACAACGTTGACATGGGCGCTGCCATGTTGAATTCCAATACTCGCGTACGGCGCTTATAATAGATGGCGCGTTGGTGCAGTGCATGAAATAACATGAATACTGTTACAGTAACAAGTAGGCAACATGTTAGAGCGCCAAGCCCAAACACACTCAAGCCGTTAAAAAAACAGAGAACATTAACATGAACCTAAACTTCAATTTGATCACACCGCACCTCACACAAAGATACACACGTGCTCTTACTTGGGACGCTTGCGTGGTGGTCGAAAAGACTCCATATCTGTAACGGCATAAAGCGCATGCTTCATGCAACTAGTAGTCCGCCTCACAATGCCTATGCTATCTTCATCTTCCTCCTCTTCCTCAACATCTATGAATGGTTCATGATGCTCCATGAACTGGCCATCACCAGACACCAGTCTGCGCTTTTTCGGTGCAACTGTATTCTCACACTGTTGGAGAAGCAAACAGCAATGATGTAAATGAACGCAGTAAATATTAAGTAACAATATAACTAAGCTGCTGCAACATGTGTTACAACTGCTGCTGTTGCCAGTGCCACTACATTGACTACAATGACCATTTTTGGCTGCCTCAAAATAGTTATGACCATTCTAAACATTTTTAGTTTGATCCCCACTTTAGGATTGTATCTACATGTGGGTATAAGCCTTGTAGTCAAGCATACCATGCACACACACACATGCGCGCAACCGAAATAAAATCTGGTCGTAAAATATTCTGTGATAGGCTTACCTCCAGGGTAAGCAAGGCTCCGTCACAGACATGGGAGAGTTGGGGAGATGAATTGAACCACTCGCAGGACTGCCCCAATAGATTATGTAGAGTCTTGCGAGAGGAAACGGTAACCGATCCAGAGAGTCTTGCGAGAATCACAGCCTGCAATTGTGAAATGTTTGTAGAGAATGCGGAATGCCAGGTTTTATAACACTCTCATCTTACGTTGCAAAATCAGCACGTTGCTTTTGTTCCAAATACACAAAGCTTACTGACCTCTTCAGACCACCAACTGACATCCACAGGCAGGTTTATATTTTGATCTTCTTTTGGTGTTTTCTTCGTGGCCTTGTTGTACAAACCGATGCTTAGTGGCCTCTCTTCATCATAGCCTGGCTGCAAGTAAATTGTAAGGAAGTTACAGGATATTCCAAAAAATCCTCTCTAGTAAAACACCCACATATGGATTTCAGACACAATGAGATTGATAAGGCAAGTTGAGATGGCGGATGGGGAAAATTGCATTCATCTGGAAGTTAGTTTCCATACCTGATCCTCCAAACTCCAACTTTTATCCAGTCTGAGCGATGGAACCTGCCAAATGGAGAGCATTCCAGACCGGTGTACTGTAGCTAAGCGATAGCACTCCGGGGACAATAACATGCGATACACAAAATCTGGTTCCGTCTGGCGAATGAAAAATCTCATGTCCGTGATTCGCCTCAGAAAACCTTTACCTTGCCGAACCTGGAGATGAATATACACCAACAAATAACACCGCAGTAGTACAATCAATCAACTAAGCTTTAACCTAATTTGATCTTTACAACTCTAGACAATGAATATAGATGATTAGCAAACATGTATGGCATCATACCGTTTCAACATCCTCAGACAGCTGTGTCACTTGCTTGTAATGTGGATAGTCAGCCAGCACTCTCCATGCAGTGATGCCTTTGCTCATTGCCTCAGACAAACCTATGTGATGATAACTAGAGTACAGGATTTTGCCATATACCAGTTGATGCAGATAGGTGATTCTTGTGAAACAGAACTGCATGCCATAATGCTCGCATGATCTAATTTTATATTTGAGATTTCCTAATGAACCCATTTGCTTATTGACCAAAATATTTTACAGTATTTGATAAGCATCACAAGTGCAGCATCAGAAATTTATGAAATGATTGAAAGCGTGACGGTTTCTTATTGGGAGTGAGTGAACACTTTGTCACATTTTTTGATGCAACAGGTTAATCAAAATTAATTCATGTGTTATGTGTTTAATCTCATAAGTGTCACTAACCATCAACACCGGCATTGTCCTGACAGCAACCACCAACAATGAGCAATCTGTGCTGCTTGTCATAGCACACAGCTCCAACACCTTGTGGGTACGTGTCTTTGAAGCTGAAGGAGTGATGTTGCTGATAACCCTCCTCTCCAGTCCTGACAACATTCCAATAATGCTAAATTATTATTGTTTGTTTTCTCAAGTTTTTGCATCAAATGTAATATATTGATATTGGAAATACATTAACAGTTGTTTTATGAACAGTGTAAGACTTAAAATACCATGTAATGAAAGGGTCAATGACACTGTAGCTCACCACAAAAAAGGACACAAATGAGTGAGTGAGAAGAAGTCAGTTTTAATTGAGCAACCATCGACGTACATTATAGAAACGAAGAGTATATATGGGAGAACTCCCATTATATACGCTTGATAATTATGTGTAATTTTTTATGTGAAAATTATAAACAATATTATATATATTATAAATCATTTATAAACCAAAATGAATCAATTTGTGACGGTAGATGGCGCTACACCCGCTTTGATGTTTCTTAGCATAAATCATTATATCATAATAATAATAATATAATAATAATAGTATAAATCATAATATGTTCATAGCAGGGATTTTTCATTAAAGATATTGTCAATGAAATCTTGTAAAACGAACCAGACGAATCAAATGCTTTCACTCATGCAACCTTTCAAGGACAATGAATGACTACATTGCCTTCACTTCCACCTTACCTGATATAGTAGCTGGTAAGTTGACCATTGTAGCTAATAAACAGCAACTCAGCCGCCCACTTGGCATCTCTCTCACGTTCGAGAAATATTAGCTCAGCTGCTGCCTCGCTGCAATCTACAATTCCAGCTGCTGCTGCTCCTGCATTCTGTAATGCACAACAAATGAAAACGTGTTACACCTTTCAGGATTTTGAGACGATAGTCGTTCCGACTGTACACTTCTTGGTTTTGCATGAATCAGAGTGCCTCCTAACAAACTATCATATAAATCCTATCATTGACTATAACCTGTATACTCCTGCCCATCCATCAAATATGCATAAATAGGTAAAGACAAGGAAACTCCCAAAATTTCTTTTTAGAGACATGTCCGTTCTATACAGGTAATTTCACTGCAGAAATACCTGCAGAAAAATGCCATCCATACTTTATACACACGTGTCCTTCCTATAGGGTTGTTCTCAAACAAGTTTGAAGAAGCACCTTATTTATTAAACACTTCCTACCCAACCTCAATTTATTAAAATAATAAAACGTTGCACATTTTTCTTATACTGTATAAATGAGCTATACCTGTGAAATGGAACATATCCTTGTTCCAATTATATCAAAAACTCTCACTCCACCACTACTGTCTCCATATGCCAACAATGAGCTATCAGAGTTCCACACCATTTGTCGCCATTGGGGTTGTGGATCTACTGGGACTGAAAAAAACAATATATTCTATTATTTGCTTATGGATTGACAATTGCCATAAATGTATGCAAACTGAAATTTTAATTTAAACACAAACATTTCATATATTGAATCCTTACATTACTAAAATAATTTTCACCAGGTACCTTGCCATTTTCTTAGCATGTTTGCAAAATCATCCTTGGATGAACGAATCTCGATACAGTTTTCTTGCAATATTGCTGTGAGTTTCCCATCTCCAGAAACAGCAAATTTCCAATGCAATCGACTGTTGATTAACTCAGCCAAACCTGACGGACGACTCCATCCAATAGCTGACCTACATGGGGGTGAAGAATTGTACGTTTACAAACAATCATGCCTATTTCAACCACAACCATGTTAATTAAATCTTGAAATGGTTTGATTTTACTTCACCAAAGTTTTGACAAGTGGGAAAATTCAATTAATTACTAATCTTGCGGACCTCCTAAACCGCAAAATGACGTGAAATGCCGCGAAATGACGGCCTCCTAAACCGCGAAAAGGCGCGAAATGACTCAAAATCATCATACATAAAATTAAATTAAAGTTAAGTTGTTATTAAATTATTTGAAATTAAATGAAAATGCTAATTAATTTTAAATTAATTACTTAAAAAACGCGATATGTCGCCAAATGTCGCGAAATGACACAAAATGACGGCCTAAACCGCGAAATGTAATAAAGTCTGTAGCAATTTATATTCTTATAACACACACGCACACGCATACGCACAAACACACACACACACACACAC